CGTATGCCCCTTGACCTTAAACAATTAACAGGTTAATAGCTGCACCGACGGCAGCGCCCCTAGCGCCACCTACAAGACCCAACTCTTTCGGTACAGCCCGACCGCCCCCAGAAGGCCGAAAGGAAACAGTGGCGCCACCTACGACCGAGGCACGCCAAGCTCTGCTTATTCATTCTGCCGCGAGTGGACGTTACACGACCATCTCACGCGTGGAACATGCGTAGGAGAGACGGACAGACGGGGACAGGGGGAGAATGAGTGAATGAGTGGGCGCGTGCGGGAGTGGATGAGTGAATGGGGGCGTGAGTGAGTGAGTGAGTGAGTGAGTGAGTGAGTGAGTGAGTGAGTGAGTGAGTGAGAGCGAGCGAGCGAGCGAGCGAGCGGGCGAGCGGGCGAGCGAGCGAGCGAGCGAGAGAGAGAGAGAGAGAGAGAGAGAGAGGAGAGAGAGAGAGAGAGAGAGAGAGAGGGAGGGAGGGAGAGGAGTCGAAGCAAAACGTTTTAATTCAGTCTTTACAAAGATCGACCCCATAAATGAAAGCCTTTGGTACGAATTAGATGCGTGGCACTCGACCGCCACCCAGCCAGTATAACCTACAACTACATCCACTAGGCGGCGCCAAAAGCGTCGATGAGCCAGAATGGTCGTTGGTCAGGTGGGAAACAAGGCCATGTCACCGCTAAGCTCATAATTACAAGCATTGTAAGGATGCTTATCACCTAACCCTCCACGTTGGCTTAATTTACAAATCTTGTATATGTAGATTCAATGAAATATCTTTTGTTTAAAGGACTCAGACCAACAACAAGCCAAAGGTCTGAGTTTCAACTTCGTTTCAACATCTAAACTTCATAAGATAGCTTTTGATCACAGGGCACATTCTCAAATGATCTAAATAGCATTTAGTGATCATTGCATTGGAATACGTTCAATTTGTCGAAACCTTTCAAGTAAGGCGTGATAACTCATTTAACCAGCAGGCAAAAGTGACCGTCATGCTAATTTAACCCAGCTAAGGCAAACGGCAAGGACAGTTGAATCTCACGAATGCTATCCGCCATCCGGTCCCCATCGGATTGGAGAGCGCTGGCCCAGCAAGCCCTCAGCTCAGCGGAACCGCGAACAATGCACCAGTATGGACCTGCTGAGAGAAAGAAATTATCTGTTAAGACAGCTGGACGAACCCTTCTTTCAACGATTGACCCACGCTGACCTCAGTAGGAAGACGGACAAATTTGCGGGTGGTCAAAAAGGGGAGAAATAGACAGCAGTCACATATGATCAAAATTTAGTAAATCTTGGTGAACAACTCTACAGTCTAATTCTGGGAGAAACTGGTTACCTTTGTCAGTCGAAAGCAAACTGTACACCGCGAGGCATGCTACCAACTCAAATTAGCAGACTATTATAGGCCAAAGGCAGGAATGGAGAATTAATTGTGTTATGATTGAGCGCGCATCACTAAAACTTAGAAATTGAGCGTGGTGTGAAAAGCTAGTGACAACTGTACTTACCAAGTTTTGGAGGGACATGCTGAAATTAATGAATTCAGATGATAAATCAGTAACATGCAACAATTCAAGTCAGACTATTCCCAGTCGCATCCAAGGTTGTTTCATCCGTTTCTGTTGACATGATCTATTGAACATGGAATTTCAATGCTAATGACCATTGACCTCTCAGTCACAAGTCATAACTGATCTCATATCTGGCCTCGGATGCTAGCACCACAGTTTCGGACCAGTGTGGTTTCACTTAAGAAGGGGTACCTTGGAATGGAAATTTATAAGGCATCAGTGACTATAACAATCTTTGTCGGGTGACGGAAGAGATACAACGATGATTACACCAGTCTGAGTCTTTGTTGACCCATTAATTTAGTTCAAAATTAGCACCATTCTCCAATGGCCAGTTCCCATTAGCTTCTTAAAATTTCTTATAAATTTAGTCTGAATGGTTGAATGGGCAGATTTGTGAAATCAGAGCTCGCACTAAGCATAGTTTGTTGTGCTGAATCTGACCTACCGCCCAACCGCGCAATTCCAGTTGTATAGCATAATTTTGTCTTAAAGTTCAACATGTCCTCACGACTGGACACAGCCCCCCTGATTTGATATAAACATTTCCCATTGCTGATGTTCCCACTCGAATAATTGGATATCACATTTGCCAAAACTTGTATACCTTCAACAACATAGCAATCGGTAAACCGAGCTTCCTTAAATTAGAACACCACCAGTCGATTGTCAATTGCAAGTTAAATAAATCATCTGGTCGAGTATGTCAATAAAAATCCGCATTATCAAATTGACTCTCATAAATCGGTCCAATAAGATAACATGAAATCACATGAGTTGGATTGTTTTTAAATAGAAATGCCAAATTGAGACTAATCCGGCGCACTACCTTAGAGTTCCCTTGATGCAAATAGGTACTTACGACCCCAGAGAAATTTGCGACAACGTGGCGAGGGACGCCAGACAACAATCCACAAAAAAAAAATATTCATGATCACAAATGATTGGGCACTACCGAGAATTACTTCATTAAATCACAGGTAACACTCAGAATAGTCGAGTTGAAATTCCGATCAAAGTTAGCGTCCCCAAGGTTGAACGATGGGAAGTCAGGATGTACTAACCCGCAAGCGACACGATTTTATGACGTCATTAATGACCAACAAGTGGGAACAGGAGACTTTCCGGGAATATGACGTCACCATGTGAATCGAGCACGCTACGTTGTAGACGTTTCGGCTGATAGGCGTAAATATCGTGTAGATTAAAGGAGTAGTAGATGGTCTAACATTGGAGACGTTTCGGCTGATAGGCGTAAATATCGTGTAGATTAAAGGAGTAGTAGATGGTCTAACATTGGAGACATTTCGGCTGATAGACGTAAATATCGTGTAGATTAAAGTAGTAGTAGGTGGTCTAAGTATTTGGCTGCGCAGTTTTCTCTCTCCAATGATTTTTTTTTGTGTTCTGTCGCGGGTAACAACTGACTCGTACCGCGCAGCGGTGCGCACATGGACTGAAGGGATTCTACGGATCAGACAGGTAAGGAGATACAGAAGGAGTGACTCTGAAGTGGTCGATAGATATTGAAACCGGAATTACACAAGGAGGAAAGGATCTAAGGATGGATGCTAGCCGAAGAGGAGGTATGTTGTAACACTTTCATGTGTTTTTGACTCTGCTGATACGTCTAAGTCTTCTAGGATTGGAACTGTCTCACGTTACGGAGGAAGTAAGTAAATATGTTAGGCAGATATCAGAACAAAGAACGCCATAAGACGCCCAAGCTGAGAGGTGAGTCAGAGAGAGATACAGGACGAGGGAGCACACCGCCGAAGGTGGGTGACAAATACGAAGATGATAGAAGAAAGGCGAGGAGTAATACCGCCGGGATGAGGTAAGTGTCCACCGTCGGAAGGATCGCAGCATGCATCACTCATGACGCTAACGCGCTTGAACACACATCTGCAGGACAGAATTCCACGGCGTCGGATAAAATTGTAGGATAGATTCAGTCATGGAGTCTTTCGAATCACACCGGTCAATGATCCGAAGGCGCCACTTGCGGGTGCCATGACTGCATGAGAGTACTGAGTAGGTACCTGTCTATGAGCCCAGTGAGACTGCGGTCGCCGGGCCAGCAGGATTGTGTCCACCGGTTCGTTAGGTGAAAGCGCGTAAGACGGTCTCTCACAGAAGGGCTGCAAGGGTCAGTAACCAACGTCCGGCCGCGGATTTTTTTTGTAGGGAGACAGAGACGTGCCGTGAGCGGCAGAGGTTGACGAACCAATCATAGTCACCGAGGAACGCTAATAACTGACGCTACCCGCGTCATATCTTTAGACAAGTAATCGGGGTCAAATGATGTAGGTGTTCGAAGAGAGTGGGCCAGCAGAGATTGATTGAACCAATCACACCCATCGACGAAAGCTAATAATGTAATCGCTACCTGCGTTGCACCTTTAGACAAGTAATCAGGGTCAAGTGATGTAGGTGTTCGAGAATATTGGGCCAGGGGGCCAAAGAGGTGCTAGGAAGAGCACACACGATTCCAATGTTGGAATGGGGCGCGATAAGTCGTTGGGATTTAAGAGTAAGATTAGATGGAATTCAAACTTATCACGGAGTCTATTGGGCAAATTGCGTTTATTGTCCCGGATATGTACCGCTGGAGGGGGTTAGAACAATTGCTGGGAGGGACTGAGAGGTCAACGTGGGATCAAACTTATTGTAGTGGGATGAGAGAGGTATGACAAAGAGAGTGAGTCTGAGAGAGATTGAGGTATGCGTCATATAGTGTAAGGACCAGCGGGAGATCTAATCTCAGCATTGAGGGCGACATTAAATGGGGATGTAATCGATTGTCTTTGGGATGATAGGCATAAGAAAGGGAGAGAATGGTGGGTAGCTATCAGGTATCAGATGGTGGCTTCAGGTTATGTCCTCAAGGGAGCCATCAAAATTATATGCTTTGGAGAGACTTCCGTGTCCTAAATTCCTTATGAGACAGATACCATCCTAGGCAGTGAAGACTATATGTTGACAAGCGACAAGCCAGCCTCATTATAAATATTGTTTGTGACGAGCCCCAGGCGCAAGGAACGGTGGCGGAAGAGAATCGATCAGCTTGAAACCAACGGACCCATAGATGGACCGATCATCACTTGGAAATGGGTGTGTTATTACGTTTGAACAAGAGAAAAATCAAACACCAAGAGAGTCAACTAGTTAATCAACAATTTGTGGATCTACCAGCCTAAAACACTCACCTGAAGTTGTTCCAGAGGACGGCGCAGGTCGGCAACCATCTCGGAAAGAAAACAACCCCGATGAACGAAATTTTATTAAACAATAATTTTTTTTTCAAAACATACTCCCCACCGCTTCCGGACCCCCAGGGGGCCAATCACACGAGCATCCAGGATGGTCAGAGTCTGGCGACGCGTCTGGCCAGATTTCTGATGTCTTACCGCAATGCTCCGCAGGTTTCCACGGGGAGGTCGCCGGCGGAGTTGCTGTACGGCCGGACTCTGAGGACCCGGCTCGATCTTCTTCGCCCCGACCGTGCGCAGATGGCTGTCGACTACCAGGCGCGTATGGCGGAGACAGCTGGCGGCGAGCTGCGCGGGTTCGGCATCGGCGAGGATGTCTGGGCTCGCAGCTTCTCTGGACCCAAGTGGCGGAGGGGCCGTATCGCTGCCAAGACGGGACCTGTCTCCTACGAGGTGGACGTCGGGGACACCTGCTGGAGCCGTCACGCCGATCAGCTGGTACGTGCCGGGCAGTCTGGGCGCGGGGTGACACCGGAGGACATCGCCGGGCCTGACCGCGCGAGGACGCCGCTGGACGCCGCCATGGGCGGGACGCTGCCGGCGCCGGTCGCTGGGCCGTCAGCGAGCGGGTCGGCGGGGGCGACGGGTTCGGTGCCGGCGGCTGCGGTGGTGGCGCCGCCCGAGGCTGAGCGGCCGCCGCCGCCCGACTCCCCTGGGCCGGCCGGGGTGTCTGCACGTGAGACTCCGACACGTGGCACGTGCGATGTGCGCGGCGCGGACACTGCGTCGCCGGCCGAGTGTTCGGATGCGGTGCCGGTCTTGCGGCGCTCGTCGCGGGTGCGACGTGAGCCCGACCGCTTGGTGGTGGGTTAGTGTTTTGATAGTCGTACTTATGCACATCAGTGGCTACGTTTCTGTTTGTTTTGCTTGTCGTGTTCGGTAGCTGGGCGCTTATTTAGCAGGGGGTGGTGTTGGGTAGTGTGTGCTGCCCTCTATACAGTGGTTATGTCACGTGTGCCATTTGGCGCGCTATTCATTCCTGCCTGTGCCGTCCTGCCGTTTGGTCGCCCAATACATCTCTACTCTGAAGGTCATCTCTAGCTGGACGGGACGAGCTGAGAGACGACGCTACAGTTATGACCCTACGTACGAAGTTAGAAGCAAAAAAGTCTTTTCTAAAATGCAATTTGCGAAAAAATCCACATACGATAAAACGACCTAAGAAGGACGCATGTGCATTGCAATGAAATGGTCGTGCTAGGCATGCTTCAGCCTTTGCATACCAACGCAAAATGTTGGCTCTGGAAGAAGATTTGTATTTTTTTCACGAAGTTACTTCTCCTTACCCTATTTCGTCGCAGTACATTTAACACGCGCACCGACGGGGGGGGGGCGGATATCCGCCCCCCCCCCTGAGGTTTTTAGCGAATAGCGGAAAAACCGCGGCGCGTGGCGCCGCAAAATTTGGTACGACTATTTTCTTATCAATTTTACACATGGTGTGCAAGTTTGAACCTCCTAACTTTCAAGGTCAGGTCACCAGGTCACTTTGAATGACCCAACCTCAAGTCACTTTTTTGCAACTTTATCACCGTGCCAGAGCCACAGTATGTAGATGTCGGAGGCCTTTGAAAGTCGCAGGATGTCATTAGGTCATTAGTAGCTACAATTTGTTTATCTCGGAATTTTGATATCGGTGACCTAAGGTCAGGTCAATTTCTCGACCTCCCCATTATAAGTCAATGGGGGAAAAATCAACTCCCTGTTTTTACCATTAAAACGGGTCGGAATGGCCCCATATACCATACATGACTTCATATACGATCAACCTTCACTACCTTGAGGTCTGTTTTGCTGTTGGGCAGCTGTAAGGTCATGTGACGTCATCAAAGGTCACCAAAGGCTTTTGCCAATAACTCCGTACAGGAACAAGATACAACCGCGCGGATGGTCTCATTGTGTTCAGCTCGTCAAGACGCATCGAATGATGTACATGATGACCTCGAGGTCACGTGACCTGAGGTCAAACTTTGACCTTGACCTTTCGAGGTCAACATATATATCATTCGATGCGGATTGACGAGAGGATCACGATGTTGCCCTTAGTTTGTTCCTATCCTGACTAATTCGAAAGTTATTCGAGAAAAACTCTCTCCATATGTAGCGCCGCCATTTTGACTTTTTTGACCCCTGTGACGTCATCTTTGACCTGACCTGAAAATGACCTTTGTAACAATTGTAGACCTTGTCCGTGCGTATCCGATGCCGTTTACCGCTTGTCGCTATCTTGCTTCGTTCCCGAGATCTCAGGGGGGGGGGGCGGTCATCCGCCCCCCCCCCCCCGTCGGTACGACGTTGGCGCAGACCCCCGTCGGTGCGAGTGTTTTAATTCTAAGATAGCCATTGGCCAATAACGAACTGTTGGAAAGAGGACCACGGCCGGCTCGCTTCCCCAGCCCACGTCTCGGCCGGCGGGTGTCCAATCGGGACGGGACTAACCCCGGCGCGACGGTTAGGTAATTGGCCGGGCTATAAAGAATCATGACCCCTTAAATGAAAAGAAGGAGCACTACGCCGTGCAAGGGGCGCAGTTCGCAACCACAGAAATGCCATTAGGCACTGCCGAGAGGGGCGCGAAAACTGCATCAAGGGATGCCTTGAGAAACCGATGGGACAGCCCGTTGGACTAGTTTTGGCAACAGCGATACACTGAAGGCACTGAATAGACGGGTAGGTATGTACTGTAACTGGATCAAGGGGCATGCGTTGATAAACTGGTGGGACGCCAATCTGCAGGACGAGGGCGCCGACGCCGTATGTACTTCACAAAAGAGACGAATATAATCAGAGGAGCGCTAACATTAGCTCGAGGGGCGCTTTTATGAATAAATGGACCGTCATGCCAAACTAAGTGTTTGTGTATGTGTGTGTGTTGTTTTTGTTTACAGCAGTTCATTCATAACATACCGTTCAACAGTGCTACCAACCGTAGGCATTAACCCCTTTTTCATGAAAATATACCAACAAATACACTTGCAGCAATTTAAAAGTAGAGGTTATACTTTGCCAGAATGCATATTTACGTCTGGACAACGAGTTGCGGGGAAAAGTGCTCATTTTGTCGCAGTTTTAGGAGCCGGTGATGAGGCTGGATTTTTGGGTTACTTTTTCGTTCTGATTCATGCATTTCATAGTGTTTGGCTTTTGAATATTTTAGTTCTTTCAGATAAATATTACTTGCCCTACAACTTTGGTAAAAACGTTTCATTTTTTATAAGCTGACCGTCAGAGTCCTAAAAATACATCAGCACTACAATCATTGTAAACAAACACAAATGGAGCACCGCTTGGCTCTGTTCCAAGGCCATTTTCAAGTTTATCTGGTGGTTTCCGTACTCTTGTACGTCGCTTTGTTGGGTGTTTTGAATCCCTTAAGATTGACTTATATCATATTTAAGAAGCATGTTGACTGAAAACAATCCCAAGTATCAAGAAGGCTGACAGAGGTCCTGACCCTGAGGCCTGAGCAATATAATATATCAAGTTGAACTTGAAGTTATGAAATTTTGGTTGATAAACGCAAGTTGATCGGGCCCACGTATCAGCAAGAAAAAGTAAAATTTAAAGAGCTTATCATTATTGGCCGAAAACAAGCTATAATATGCAGGAGATCTTGGATCAATACTGAAGAGCAGCATCAGCGCTGAGCAGCATCATGCCAGAAAATGTTGACTGATGAGTGCATATTGGTGTGTTGGTATGAATATTGAATGATAACTTACAACAGCAAGATAAGTTAGTGCTAACTATCAAGTGAAAAACCTAGAATGAATGGACTCGGGCAGCTTTACTATGCTTAGATGCTATGCAGACGGTAATGTTGATGTGCATCAGGTACTCAGTGTCTGGCAAATGAAACATGCGATCATTCCATTGCTACTGGAGGAGAAAGCTTGGATCACTAAATCCACTTTTTGATTTTGACGTTAATCATTACTGTATTTCTTGAAAAAAGGATTGTAGTAAAATTGTCAATGTGACAATCCATGCAACGATGTGATCATATGTGTTCATAGTCATTCGTGATAGTGGTTGTTGGTCCAATATACAATGGCAAAGCTCTCAGCGTTTTTTATGTGGATGGCCAGCAGTGCCTCAGAATTTAGAAGTATTAGTTTTATTCACAGGGCTGCTGGGATAAAAAGTACTTAGGGTAATCTTCCAACAAGGAACTTTACTTTGACATGGTATGAGATGTAGGCACAAGTAGGTAGGTGCTTCGTTCCTATAGTCAGTAGTTGTGTAGGTTTAGTTGGGTTAGCTTAAATTAGGTTTTAATTTGCCAAGTGTCCATAAAAATGTGACCTGAGCAGTGCCCGTACCTGACTAACCTGACAGCTGACCTAACCTCAATCATCACACATATTTGCAACCTAGCCAAGACCTGCATAGCAGTAGCACCAAGTTATAGGTAGGTACTCACCCTAACTAAATCTTACCTGCTAACCTTCAACTTGCCAACAGTTAGCTCACCTTGCCAAGCTGCATCCAGGGAAAGTCAACTGAGGAACTGGCTCATTGGGTGGCTGGTGTGAGTCTGTGCATTTAAAGTGTTTCTTCTTTGAAGCTGCTCTGCACTGCTGTATGTCATGTTAGATGCTCAGAAAAAATGTGGGAAATGATAACTAAGCTACTTTAGTGCTTTGTTAATGCTTGAGACATGAACAAGTACAAGTCCTGCGGGGCACAACTATGAGTTAGGTGCTAGGTGAGTATGTTATGTGAATGTGCTGGTTCCCTGTTTGACTGTAGTAAGTATACAAACAAGCACAGGGTCACAGTTATATTCAATCTCCACATAAACATACAACAAAAACAGCCATATAGCCTCACTCCGAACACACCACAAATAACTTAAGCCTTTGCAGGCACAAAAATGCTTTGATTTACAGGACAGGTATACAACATATCCTCTGTCCTTGGGGATCTTGCTGCCAAGTTGAAGTATGATGACTGAACTTCAGGATTGATCAACCTTTTCTTCTTAGCCACTGCTTGTATAAGAGAAAGACATAATGCTTGTTTATAAACTGCCTTGAAAATTTAATGATCCACCTTCAATTCTGGCATGAAGGCACAAATAAAATAGTTCCCTCTCCTCTTGGAATACACAAAGCAAAATATTTAATAACTTTTAGTGGATGGACAAGAGCAATTAGCATATCTCCCCTCAAGTTAACTTCTGGCACTGATGAATTACACTGACACCTCTGATCCAAGATAAACTTGGAATGTGTAAACCTGCCTAGTCAATCATGCAACAGATGAACTTGAGGTCAACATGATATTTTGCGATAGGTATACATCAGCGTTACTTTGCAGTTTGGAACCTTTTTTTTTTTTTTTTTTTTTTTTTTTTTTTTTTTTTTTTTTTGCTCGGTCGGCCTAGTGCCATTCCCGAGCAGGGGGCAGTTACTCCGGCAATTTTCGCCGGGCAGCAAGTGTTACGTTAAACCGGTTTATGTGAACCCGGTAGCAAAAACAACGTGGGATCCTATCTTAATGTGGAACCAAAGCTAAGGGAGGTACTTACGTGTACAGCCAAAGAGCCGAGATGTCTGGAGTCGCAAACACAACAGTGGGAATGACTTTTATTAACAATACATGATAGACATGAACACTTGTGAGCTGGTGTCAGTGTAATGGAGCCGGGAAGCTTTCATCGCACTGACAGAAGGTATAAGACCTTCTAGGCTCCAGCCCCCCGGCGGGGCCTTGTTGTGGGGTGTAATGGTCGGGAGAAAAAGTCCTAAATAATAAAAAACCCGACGCCTAACGCAAAGGGCAAAAACCTCGCACCTAAGCCAAAACGGCGCGAGGGAAAAAGCCCTGTAACCGCGATTAATTAATGTGTGAGTTTGGGGGTGAGCCGGGAGACGAGGGCTCTGGTTAGCGTTTTAGGGGCGGCAGCCGCGGCCCTAACACGCTAAAGGCTCTTGATGATCCGAGCGTCGGCGAGAAAGACGAACAGAAGGTCGTGGATATCCGGATGAGTGTCGCCCAGGAGAGTCGGAAGGTCGAGAGAGAGTCCATGTGTGTTAATGTATTGTACTATATGTCTGCGGTGTTGGTGTAGGTGTGGGCAGTGGAGGAGGAAGTGTGAGATGGTATAGCGTGGGTGGTCGCGGCAGTGGTGGCATATGGGTGGAGGTGCTCTGTCCAGGATGTAGTTGTGGGTGAGTTGTGTGTGGCCGAGCCGGAGCCTGGCTAGGACTCTCTCTTTGATCCTTGTGTTTTGATGGGAAGAGTAGAAATGGCAAAGTTTCGGTTTAATGGAGAAGAGATGTGGTGTATGATCATCTATCCAGCATTTTTGGCGGTATCTCTGGAAGGCACGGAAGAGCGAAGACAGAAAATCCGGAAGGGGGAGAGCGAGATGATTTCGAGATGGGAGATGAAGACCTTCTTTGGCTAGCTTGTCCGCTTTTTCATTCCCCTGTATTCCAACGTGGGACGGAATCCACAGGAGAATGACGTGTTTGTTTTCATCGGTAAAGCCAATAATCATCTTTTTTATTTTATAAACGATTTCGTTTTTTTCCATTTTTCTGTGAGCTATTGCCTTTACCGATGAAGCTGAGTCTGTGCAGATCACAGCCTTTTCTATGTTTTTCGACGAGACATATTTGAGTGCTGAGTGAATGGCTATCAACTCAGCACTAAATATGCTATGGTCGTCGTGTAGCCTACTTGTTTTGTTATGATGGTCAGATGTGACAGCGGCTGCCGTCCTCCCGTCACAAACTGAACCATCTGTATATATGTATGCATAGTCTTTATGTTCTTCTTTATGCTCATAGAAAAGTTGAATGCTTTCTTCTTTTGTGACTTTTGATTTTGCCTCTGCGTACAGGAATGCAATATTCTCTATGGCTGGCAGAAAGAAAGAAGAGATGGGTGGCCGATGAAAAATAGATGGAAAATCCAACTGGAAATCACTAAGTGTCCTTTCTATGCGATAGGCGATTATCGGGTATTTGAGTTGGGCCGTTGTGGGAGGGTCGTCCGTATATCGATTGGAGACAATGCGGTGCGAAGGCGAATAAGGGGACAAGAAAGTGCGCGCATAGAAGCGAAGGAGTTGGAGTTTACGGCGGTGAGAGAGAAGAGGAATATTACATTCTGCGTGGAGAGCCTTGATATTTGTGGTGCATTGGGCTCCTGTAACTATACGCAGGGCCTTATTTTGTATAACTTGAAGTGATTCGATCTGATTAGAAGCTATATCATCAAATAGAAAACTGTTGTAATCCAGGATAGGACGGATTAGGGAAGTGTATAGGTTAAGGAGGGTGCTGCGATCAGCACCCCAATCCTTTCCTGCTATACACTTAAGTATGTTGAGGCGCCTAGTGCAACGCATTTTAACGTCTTCAAAGTGATGTTTAAAGGAGAGTCTACTATCTAGTGTGATGCCGAGGTATTTGAACGTTTTAACGTATTTTATAGTTTGGTTCTTTACTTTAAGTTCGGTATCAAATTTAAAACGGGACTTATGGGAGAATATAAGTGCTACTGTTTTGCTGGGCGACAAGACTAGGCCCCATTTATCGCACCAGCTATTAATATCCTCCATTGCGTTTTGAACGGAGGCAAAAGCCGAGTCAATGTTTCTTCGCGTTACCCAAATGGCCACATCATCGGCAAAAATAGAATGCTTAAGGCTACTAGGTGGATTTTGAAAAAGGTCGTTAATCATAATAAGGAAGAGGGTTGGGGAGAGGACACTGCCCTGAGGGAGGCCGTGATCCTGATTAAGATTGGGAGAAAATGTGTTACCGCATCGTACGTTAAATGTTCTATCTTTGAGGAAATTAGAGATATAATGGGCCATGTGGCCGCGAATACCTGTCTTATGAAGTTTGATCAGAAGGGCTTGTTTATTTACTTTATCAAAGGCGTTTTGAAAATCAATGAAAACTGCAAATGTATACATGTCATTTTGGAAGCCCTTCTGGATGTCATCAATGAGGTGGACTATATTGTCTGCCGTGCAGCGGCCAGACCTAAATCCTGTTTGATGTGGAGAGAGGAGGTAGTTACCTTCTAGATATGCCCTAATCCGTCCATTGACCATATGTTCTGTCAATTTAGCAGCGCAACTGGTTAGGGATATAGGTCTATAACTAGAGGGGGAGGAGGGTGGTTTGGAGGGTTTAAGGATGGGGACGATGGTACTGTTTCTCCAGCTCTCGGGGTACAAATTGTTTTCCCATAGATTATTGATTACTATCAAAAGGTTTTCAAGGCCGGATTCAGAAAGGTTTTTGAAGAAAGGATAGGCTATCTGATCCGGCCCTACCGACGTTTCACCACATCGAGATATGGCGTGTCTAAGTTCGAACAAGTCAAAGTGCTTGTTATAATTTTCAGTATTTGCTGAGTCGAAGGAGAGGGTGTCGAGTGTTGTGTTAAAGCTGTCATGTTGTACTAACTTTTGCTTATTCATTGAGTTCAGTGGCTTATTCGCTTCATATTTTGTAACAAACGCGCAAAAACTGTAATATAACAGCACTATATGCTTTTTGACAAAATGCAATAGTAGTAAAACTTAACCCTGACGGCATTAGTTCTTAATGGAAATGTAATTACAAAATATTTTGTAGTAACTATTAAATTTCGGCTGAAAACAGTGCACGATTTAAAAAAGAATCATTTCCATGACAGTCCATTCTTGCGGTCCTGAAATCGCCACTATTTCCGGCCTCTCCAACGCAACTCGTTGTCCAGACGTAAATATGCTGCCAGAATCACGAGGCAGTGAGCACCGATGGGAAAATCAAGTCATATTTTTGGGAAGAGGTCGATGACGCGAAGCCTCAGCAAATTGCAGTTTGCGCAGTTTTTTTTTTGTTTGTAAAACTAAATTTTAAAGTTGTTTGTGTTGGTTTTCTTAGTTTAAAAATATTTAAAAGTACTCAAAAAGTTTTGGCTGCTTTATATACCTACAATAGATATAGAGAGTGAGATGACATAGTTATTTGAAATAGAGCATAGGTACACGTATATCATCCACAGTTAAATATTTAACCAGCCTCAGTCATCCAACTTAAGTTACATAAAAATGACATAGACATTTCAGCATTGAAATTGGATATTTTTTTCGTGTCATGTCAGACAACAGTCCGACTCAAAATCAACCAGCTCCGTCTCAAGGAACCGGCAGCCGGCTAGGACAAATAATAACAATAGCCTTGATTGGCATTGCAGCTTTCGGTAAGGGAAACACATGAGGCACGAAATGATGCACCACATAGGTTCTATCATCCTACCCAATATTCCGGGTTGCCTATTATGGGTGTCTGATGCATGAAATGAAATATTTATTAATAAATAATAAGCTGCTATAATAATTATGTAACTTATTTTACCGGCTGTCTGCTCTGCCAGGGGTGTACCGTTTGTATGAAGAGCGTCAGAAGAGGAACAAGGGCGGTGGTGGCGGTGGTCCCTGCGGCGGCGGAGGGGGAGGCGGCGGAGGGGGAGGCTGCGGACTGAGCGGGCAGGCCCTGGGAAGCGGACTGGTTAGGATGTTCCGCTCCCCAGTTGCCAGCCGCCTGCTGGGCAGCTCCTTCACACCAGCGGAAGACGTCGATTGAGCTTCTGGTCTGCCCTGAGATGGCCACTTGCTCAGCATCGGTCCGAGTTCGGCTGACCGTCAGCTTGGTTTTGCCTGCTAGTTTATAACCGACTACTCAGGTATGCGGTTTTCATTTATCTTTCTAACAACCTCACTCGAACCACAGCAAACCATGAAGTCAGCAAAACCACAAGAGACGGATACACTACGCTGCCAATTTGAGCATCTTCACGACAATGCCACACTTGGCGGCAATCAAAGCCTGTCAATTTGGATCGGATTGAACGTCAATAATCCCATCGATTCGCCGCCAAGTTAGTGGAGCTCAGATGGATGCTTCGAACAGGATCCTCTCGCAGTTAAGTTGATACCATATCGCGCTGGTGTTCGATTGACGTTTGTGATTTGAACACTGTGTAAATGACCTATAATTGTTGAAAATTAGCGTTTCGTCTGTACAATTGATGCCCATGCTACTATTTGGACATGGCTCCGATGCCCACTGAAAACGTTGGGTGCGCGATGCTTTGCCTTTACTCCATCCTGAGGCTGGTAACGCTCCGGGGCTTATTCTTTTCCCTATAGCACGGGATTTGCTCCTGTAAGCACGTCAGTTTCTTCCAACCAATATGTACCAGTAATAGCCAATAAATCTTCACGCGTATCTTCTAGAGAAGCATTGAGTGGATCCTGGCGCGGGCATAATAATGACCTGACGCCATCCCCGGGGAGGGCGCCTCTGCTGCAGAAGACGCCGCCCGGCCGGTCGGCAGTGAGGGGCGCCGGGGCGGGGTCGATCGGCCCGCCGCACCGGCTGATTGCTGTTCTGACACCTCTCGAACGGCGGCGGGGCAGTAGCGTGGGAGCAGGCCGGGGCTCACTCACAGACTGATCGGATCAACTGCGCTTTCAATGAATCATCCCTCGCTAAATCTAGCTTCCGATGCACCAGCATTGTAGATTATTTTGAAATTAATATAAATTATCGTCGAATTGCTTTCTGAATTCATATAATGGTAATGTGATGAATGATTCTCTTACATTCTCAAACTTTTCCTAAAAAAACGTATTATCCACATCGAGCATGTATGCATGCTGTGCTGTTCTTACCAAGGTGTGCATATTGGGGCGTAATACTACCAATTTTCATTTTGCAAGGTAGATAGCAATTGATGTTCCCTTCATACCGTTTTATTTTAACTATTGATTCTTATTACCGCATGATAAATATGCACAAAAATGATGCATGCCTAAACATTTCTGCACTGTCAAATTTGACACTTTTCATTTCATATTTCCTTTAACGGTTCAGGCAGCTGCCTCGATGCATTATGCAAGCACTTGAAATCCTCTGAAAACGGGATCTGATAATTAACGCTCGTACTTATGGGGGTGGTCGAACGAGCCCCCTCTCCTTTTTTATCGAATAACTCGCGTAAAAAGTGGCTTGTCGCCACCATACTTTAAGTACCTCCGAGTTGATTTTACACATGCTGTAACAATTGTATGACCTTGAAATAAATGATCTTTGACCTGTGACCTGTTTCTCAAGACCATGGCAGGCCGGAATCGCCATTCAGCGAATGTCAGCGCATATTATCTCTGCGTTTGCAGTCTTTTTATGGTCGTAAAGTTCTAACATGTGAAAAGATAGTTGTCAAATGCATTTCAGTGGGTGTCAAGGTCACGTGAAATTTAGGTCAGGATCATTGACTTTAGATGACATTGGTTCACTTTTCGGGTTTTACATGTTCCCAGGATAGTTTCGGGACCTGATTTCGAATCGAGTACCCATTTGAGCAGTTAGAAGTTAGTTTTGGTGCCTACGTGACATGTTACGAAGCTTAGTGGATGGTTGACAGTTGACACCCGCTATGGATAGCCGGCAGAACGCCGACTGGCGGACCTGACCTGACCTGACCAGATCCGACCTATCCCCAAATGCCTGAATGCATAATCTTCGATGACAGCTAACATGAAGTTTGTAATCAGAACACCACCCCCCCCCCCAAAAAAAAAAACATACAAAGTACAAATCTCACTTCACGAATTCTAGCAGGCCCAGATTTTCCCGACTTTTGAGTCATTGACCTGACCTGGGTGGTCAACCAAAGATTTGGGACATTAAAATTGGGTATCATCGGCTTCCTTTCGTCACAGACAACATGCTCGTTTTTTTCTGCGAAGTCTATAGCTCTATCAAGGGTCAAACGGCTGAGGGATCCGTAGGACTCCCCCATACGTTAGACGCTGTAAGAGGGCCAATACGCATTTTCACACATGGCACATGCAATTTCACCATTCTACAACGCACACCGGAAGTTCGAAGTTGCATCTCTCCGTTCTACTTCGTTCTTGTTTAATAAATTTATCAAACTATATGGAGTTTTTGTTATCCCCTACTGCCGCGCTCGTCGGTAGCTATGACGGGAGCTGGCCCATTGTCACCGCCTTTGAGCTATCGGGACTGGTCAGCGGTTGTTGGGTCGGCGCGGCTCTGCCCCTGACCTGCCTGGGGCGGGGGTGGGGGTGGGGGCCGAGTGTCCTTGTGCCGGTCGCCAGGGTCGGTGCCCGCAGCGCCCACGCCGGAGATTGGGCGGGGCCGCGCCCATCGTCTCCGTCTAATCACGCGGAACACTCTGATGCGAATATGCATCATCCAATCAGGGCGGGCCGGACGCGGCGCCACTGTTTTGGTCAGCAGCGCGGCGAGTCGGGCCGGCGCGCGATCGGCCAGCCCCGGCTGCTGATTTGGGAGCCGGCCAGGCGACTCGGCACCGACCGGTTAGCGAGCGCGGAGAGCAACGATATATCAGACACAGAAAGGCCCTCTGGCCGGTTAGCGAACGGGGAACACCGATATCAGACCGGAAGACACTCTGAAGGCTCAGTGAATATTGGATAGTGCTTCTCGCACTTTTGTTTGATAAGTTTATTCCAAGATTTTTGAATAAATTAACTTGGTGCTTCAAATAACTTTTCATGCTTTAAACACCTATTCAGCCATTAGTTATAAGTATCCTACCTATTGGTCCACAAAATCACTGTGGATCACCCTCCACCCTGCGGCCCCGGCGCATTTTGAAAAATACGATTCGCACAGGATGAGAGACGAGGCCTTGTCAACCCTGTTATACGAGACACATCTTGCATTCCGCGAACCAAGGGGGTGCGTGCATCCAATACAGGTGTAATAAGATGGTGTGGTGACCGCTCCAGATCTGACTGTAATGGGACACTGGGAGTGTGTGTTTCGGCGGCCGGGTGCAGGGCCGGGGCAGCCGCCGAAGGAGGGCTCGGTGGGCCGGCCGAGACGGGGCGGAATGACGAGGGCCGGATGGGTGCCGGGTCAGGCTGCCATGTTTGTCGGGCGCCGGTTGACGGATGAGCCGTCACTGTTGGCGGCCGTCGGGCCCGGTCGAGTCATCAGCCGGCCGGCCTGCCAGTCATGACGGGCCGGTGAGCCGCGGGAGGCCCTGTCGCACTTATCGGCAGCCTGCGTCGCGCGGCGCGGCTCTGCGGTCACCACGGCGGCGCCGTGATGTCAGCACAGCCACAGACTGAGCCCTGTTGACAGTCCGGAAACGGCACTGACTGACCATCACTACCGCCAGACGCAGTGAGCTGCTTACCTGGCGAGTCCCATGAGATTATCACTCGTGTGGGTGAGAGTATGGGCCATCAATCTAAACCAAGGAAAACAAACTCCCTGGGTCATCCTTCGGACAGGACATTCATGGATATCGATGCCATTTCTCAGCCTCTCACTCTCAGGCCAGCCAGGGTTTATTGCTGTTCTTTTTTTATATTGCGTTTAAATGTGAATATAACTAAGAAACAAAGCAATATTGTATCATTAGGTATAAACACCAGTTATTTTTAATAAGTGCGACCGTAAGGATTCGATCTATTCAAAACGGCCTGTTTCTTTTTTCAAGTTTTGAGATGAGATAGGCCATCAAGAAACCCATTACTGACAAGTGGAAAGCAGCTTTTCGTATTTTGAGCATGCGATGCACTACATCAATAAAATGTGGCGAGTACCTTATGACTAAAAACATTCGTGAAGCATGGGTTGGCACCGGTCACCTCAAGCAAATAACACCCCGTGTTATATGTCCTATGAAAACTTGCCTTAAATTAAACTCGCATGTATTTTTAGATGTCTCATTATTATGAGTAAATCAGCATTGTGCACCTCTAGTCACGCCGGTCCCGTAGCTCAGTCAATACAGCGGTGGACTCCGCATGGTGCGAGCACGCGTCCCGATTCTAACAGTCCGGGTTCGAAGCGCGACGGTCGCTCGATGTTTATGAGCCTCCTAATGGGCGTGGTTGCGGTTGATGTCAGGCTGTAGCCAGGCGAAGTCAGTGAGGGACCGACCGTGCGCGGCTATGTGCGCACGTTAAACTTCGGAGTCGGACTCCGAATTCTGCCATAGATCAGGAATTGCGCGACCGGAGGGTAGAGGGCAGGGTCATCGCAACAAGCTCGGCTTAGCGGTGGCTCTGTCCTGGTGAATCCTTCCATTCAAAAGGTTAGGACTGAATTAATGTAAAAAATCTACATAATCATACACTGCATTTTCAGTGAACAATCATACGAATTCGCATGCACCATGTTTCACTCCAAAAGCGCATCACAGCAATGGCAAGTTCGGCACAAGATCACGATAAGATTAAATATTTGTCATCGCATATACATCACTGGGCGCCAGTATCTGAAAGTACGTCACAACGCAGGCGTACCAGTACCACATCACGGTCATCCCGACCAGTCCCGGTATCCAGATCACCAGATTAGCGACCACCGCCTGGGTCGTGCCGAGTCCATTCCAGGCGAAACACATCCACAGCGCCCAGGCGGCCGCGGCCAGCCACGCCAGGGTGACCAGAGCCTTGAAAACGCCGTACCAGATCACCCACGGAAAGAGAAATTTACGCCTGTTGTGACGAAGGCCGTGAATGAGTAGACTGTTTGTTATGATGTTAGGGACACACACCACCAGCAGGCCGAAGTAGATGTACATCAGGTTCCAGTAGTAGTCGAAGCGCATGGCGATGGCGCGCTCTATGAGAAAGGCCGTCCAGGCGAGTAGCACCAGGCAGCTGAGGCTGAGGTAGGTGATGCCAATGGCCAGGGAGCCGGTGCGCAGCGACAAGCACCCGCAGCAGAGAGTGAGGACCATGGTGGCCTGCTGGCTGCTGGCCGCCGTAAACCTGCCTGCGGTACCGTACCCTCAGCGGGGCACGGTCCCGACTGCGCCCTCAGCGGGGCACGATCCCACAAACAGACTGTGGCCTGGCAGCGACGGTAGTGCTCCAGACCTCGCACTTATTGCCGGTGTCTTTCACTGAAATGAGGAGTGAAAAAGGCGCTTGAATAAAAAATCGGGTCTTTTGTTGTTATACTTGCGCGGGGACAGCACACTGCGGTGCAGTATCACCCCAGGCGCCATCCGTGGGCGTTCAGCAGAAGGCCGTATAACCGCCCACTAAGACGCGCGCCGTAGGAACTATTGTTGGATGCGTCCTTACTCAACTATACGAGTATCTCCGAAATATAAGATATTACGGTGCCCTAACCTATGTGTTACCCCGTCGCCCCGAGCCCTGCAGTTTAATCGATGCCAAAACGCGGGAATGTCTGGAGATGCTTCGGTTGGCAGTGCGGAACGCAAATCAGGCTTTCCTTAAACGTTGATGAAACGGTATTGGTAAAACGACGGAAAACGAAGTACCTAGATCTGCCATTCAGTAGACCTTTCACGTTGTTTCTAAACTCGTCAGTGTCAGCCCCAGAAACAGTGAAAGCAAACCCTGGATTCCAGTTTCAGGCTGCATAACAGGTTCCTGAAGCTATGCTGACCTGTAGAGCTCGCGCTGACGTGTCGCGCATGAATAAAAACTCTGACCTGGGTTGAAAATTTCACTGTAGTGATCAGCAGTTTCTCACTTCACGCCTTCTCACCTCACTCTTGGTCGTGCTACGCATGCGTGTGACCCCACCACGCCCCGCTGTGGCGCTGCACCGACGCACTGCCACTGGATGCGCACAGCCTCACACCCGCCGCACCCGTCAGTCGCACACGGTCGGCCTTGGACGATCTATGAAAGGATGGCGGACCCGTAGAGCGGCCGGATTATCAGAGAACGAACCCGGCCAACAGTCGCCAAGCTGGGCGCACGTAATGCACGGAAAATGGTCCCCGAACAGTTTGACAGCCGCTAGGCGCTAGGTGCTGAACAGTTGGGGTGTAGGTAGGTACTCCTGGCGGCTGACTCAATTAGGGCTGCGGAGTCGGAGTCGGTCGGAGTTGACAGTTCTGTCCGGAGTCGAATCCTCAAATCGGAGTTTGAGTCACCAAATTTCATCCGTTTCGACGCAGGAGACGTATTCAGCATTGTATGCATTAGTGGTCCATATATCCGACGCCTGTTTCGTGGAAAATATTACAATTATTGACCTTAGCACCTTTAACCTTCCAGGCGGTGGGGGGGGGGCATTTTTTGCCCCCCCTTTAGTTTTTTCGATATATTTCGAGAACCGCTGCGCCAATCGTCACCAAACTTTCAGTACCCTCCCGGGAGTAGCTAGCGCACATGGTGACCAAAATTTTTTCCAAAGGCTATGATAGGTTGGCCGCTAATGACGTCAGAGTGACGTCATTTTTGCCATTTTCGACCCAAAAAAGGTTTCGCGGGAAGAGCTGTCAGGCCTACAGCTTTAGAGATACAGAAAAATGTTCCAGAAATAAAAGGTGTAAAATCAAAAGGGCTATAAAACTGTCATTTCGGTTTTTCGAATTTTTCGGATTTTGACCCCCAAAAATCAAAAAATAGATTTTTTGAATATAATAGCCGAAAAATCCAAAAAAAATTATGAATTTCGAAAAACCGGAATATATGTGATAGTACCTACCGCCTTCTATCTACAGGGTGTCCCATAAGTTCGTTCTCACCTAAATTTTACGTTTTTAGGCTCTCTTGCTTAAAGGCACGCTGAAATTGGTTCGTTACTGGGCTTACGTGGTTGCCATGGCTGGTAGAAATATGCTCCACAGTAACTAATTTCTGTAGACAAAATAGTTTTTGCTAGAGAGCCCGTTTCCTACACAGACGGCTAACGCCGCAACATAGAGGTCTCCAATACGGGTACGTCTCGGTATTTAGTCAGCACGTGACCATTCGCGACGATTGAGGGTGATTGAGGCCTACCAGTCTGTAGACAATGTCCATCGCTAACTGGACGCACAGTCAGCAAGTGACACCGATGATTTGTCGGGAGTCAATCATTGCAAGTTTATCCGCTTTTTTGTCAGCTCTCAAGAGTGAGCCATGTGGCCAAAACTGTGTGGCGCCAAAGTGGCCATCAAAAAGGTCAAAGGGTTAGAAAGTTGGTAAACAGACTTTTCAGGATGGATTACCAGCTGTCTAAGAGTGTTCTTTCGGGGTACATAACTCAAGGTGACTTAACCCGCGCCGGGCCGGGGGGGGGTGTTTGAACACCCCCCCTGCGGTTTTTCGCAGATATCTCAAAAACGGCGGCGCGGAGCGCCGCCGTTTTTGGCACACCTGTTTGTGCATCTTTTCCGCACATGTTGTGAAAATTTCAGACCCAGTTCGCCTTAGGTCAGGTCACCAGGTCACGCCAAGTGACCTCACCTCAGAAAAAATAGGAATGCTCGTCATAGCTACACCGATTGATCGATTGCCTTGAAACTTTCAGCGATTGATAAGAGCAACTATATCTACAAAATGTATATCTCGGAATTTTGATATCGGTGACCTAAGGTCAGGTCAATTTTGCGGCCTCTCCATTATAAGTCAATGGGAGAAAATTGAAAAGCGTCTGTTTTGCACGAACGCTATTCTAGACACTCTCAAACATCGAGATATAGGTACAATTGACACACTGAACCGGAAAATGGCAACTGTGACCCCTTGTTATGTCCCCGAGGTCATCTCAGGTCACGAACAGAATCTATCAGTTTTTCGCTAATAACTTCTGATAGAGGCGTGCTAGAGCGCTGAAAACGCCTTAGATGTGTTCGGCTCGACGTTGCGGATCGACTGATATGCAACATGACCTTTTCCGGTCAGGTCATGACCTTGACCTGAGGTCAAATTTTCAAGCTGACCTTTCAAGGTCAAATTATAGTTCATTCGACGCGTCTCGACGAGAGGAACACGATGCTGGCAAAAGTAATGTCATGGCTCTTTTGAGTCAAAAGTTATTGTCAAAAAACCACTTTTCGTAAAAATGGCTATTTTTGAAGTTTTTGCCCTCTGGAGGCTAAGCCGTTGACCTGAGGTCAAATCTGAGAACATTACTCAGAAAGGTCTGTAAAAGGGCTATCGAATGCGCTTTTCCGCGGCGCTGTAGCTCTATCGGTTCCCGAGATAGCCGTTGGCAGTTTCCAAAATGTTGAAATAGTCAACATTTCACCTTTGGTGACCTCTGGTGACCTGACCTTTGACCTGACCCAAAAAATGACCGAAGTGTTTTCGTCCTTATTTTAGACGTTCTTTCGATTGCCGCTTACCGCGTGTCGCTACGTGGCCCAGGAGCCGAGTTAGACGGGGGGGGTGTTCAGACACCCCCCCCCCCCCCGGCCCGGCGCGGAATCTCAGAGCACCGGCCCGGCGCGGGTTAAGCTTTGCTTACCGGAGGGCTCAAAACAGTCAAAAACGTCTTAAAATGGCCAAACATGAGTTTTGTTATGCCTGAGGCTAAAAAACTAAAGGGCTGAGGACATCAACCAGGTCATCTGGACTAACTAGTCCACGTTCGAGATGAAACACCCGTCCAAACCCGAAAACAACCCCATGAGGGCGAAGGAGGAGGCCTCCGTTTCGTCCCGTTATGTTCCTATGCGAAAGGCCAAGGTCACGGTATTGTGGGGTTATAGGCGTCCAGACGCTGACCAGGTTGCGATTGGTGTCCCAGAAACAGCTTTGGGAAGCATAATGCTTTTCCAAGAACATCTAGGAAGAGTTTCAACCCTCAAGCTCAACTCGAACCGTGAGTATGAACACATTTATAGAGGAGAAAATGGCATCCGAGAGGTCGTAGGCCCATCTTCAGGCAAGACAGTACATCAGTGCACAGGTCAAGCAAAGCTTAAAAGCGGTGCAAGGAGACTGTGACAGGTGTTTGTGGCAAGACCACATGCCAGGCACCTCATCGGATCAAAATTTCATAAAAATTTGTTGGTTATGCTGAAAAATAGGCTCGTCGAAGCGTAGCGCTGTTCCAGCCTCGAGGAGCTCACGACGCATGTCAAGTCAGTCTGGATTAACTTTAAGCCCGCTATGCAGCCAAACATGCCGGTTGGCATGCCGCAGCATGTGTTCATGTGTTTGCCTATTAAATGGGGAGCACATTGAGGGGTCACAAATATATCAAGACGCAATGTACTCTGTTTCACATGCAAATATAATGTGAGAACGAACTTATGAGACACCCTGTACATACCAAACTTGAGATCAATACCTCTTTTTTTGGCCAAGTTATAGCGAAAAAACTGTTCAAAATTGATGACGTCAAATTTTCAAACTCAATTTTTAGCAATTCTAGACCTCGTAGCGCAAAACAAAGACCACCATTAGACTCCCCGTGACGAGCTGCATCGAATCGATACCCATGTTATGCAAAATATCAACTTTGAAATTTGACGTTTTTTGACCTGACCTTGACCTGACCTCCACCAGAAAGTGACCTAAACCGTACCTGATGGTCTTATAACCAATACCATTGAGTTGGAAATGAAAAACTGGCCATAAAACATGCATCGCACAACCTTAGTAAAGTTGGGTTCATGTGGTGACCCTTGGTGACCTTTGGTGACCTGACCTGTGACCTGACCTGGTATAACCAGTGACCTCTAATAACAACATATGTACTAGGCAACTGACGCCTAATCGCTGATTTTCGACAAGATGCGTTTTACTCGGTGTTATAGCGCTTTCCCTAGAAGCCCCGTGAACGGTGAAACATTTTATCTTTGACCTGACCTGTGACGTCATCGGTGACCCCCAGGTCAATGAAATTTGGTTTCCGTCGACAAATTTGACAGGGCCATCGAACGCCGTTTGAATTTTCCGGATCCGTCCAGTAGTTTCGGAGATACGAGGGGGGGGGGGCAAAAAAATGCCCCCCCCCCCCACCGCGAGGAAGGTGGCTGGGAGGCCCACCACCTGCCGGGTTAAGTAGGGTTTGGTGTTTGTATATTTGTTCATGAACAGTTCGTGAACAATGTTTGTTTGTTTGTTTATTTGATAGTTTACGAATTCTGGCATTCAAGGTCACATGTTCACCAACGATCCTCTGTTCACGAACAGTTCGTGAACGTTCATGAACGTTCATGAACAAATCATAATTTCTGATATCTTTCGAGCAATTATTACCAGTAAAACGCCTTTTGGGCGAGGAACGAGCGAGCGAGATAGTGAGCCCTGCACCGTGCACGTGCGGAAGGGCGAGAGGGTACTTCCAACGGGCTTGTGCAAAGCACCCTTCTAACCGGTCGCTAGCGGTGTGCCAAATTTGAACGGAATCGGCGCAGCCGTTCCTGAGATCTGGAAGCGGCATTCTGCACGTGCGCTCGTGCAAACGGGGTCCAAACTGACTTTTGCACGACACCCTACTAACCGGTCCCCAACCGTGTACCAAATTTGAGCGCAATTGGCCCAGCCGTTCTCGAGATCTGGGAGCGCCCCCTGCACGTGCGCACGTGCAGTAGCACCCTAACCGAAAAACATGGGAATGCTTTGCCTGATGGGTGCCTACCTGTATGCCAAGTTTCAGCGAAATCGCCCCAGTAATTACCGAGTTATTGAAATGGGAACAAACTTGGCACCTCTTCTTTTTGCATTTTGCACGTGCAGTGGGGGTCACTCACATAGATCAAGAGTATCCGACCTTTGGTAGAAGGGATGCAGCTACCCTACAAAAATTACTGCAAGACAATCGCCCAAGTGGCTGCTGAGATATGAGCCTCTCAAAATCACTACTTTTGCAAAACAGCTTGAACACCCCTGACTATTCACGT